ACCGATGTTGCTGCAATTGTATCGATCGCCCTACTACCACGAACGTACAATTTTGATGCGCTCTCACAGCCTCGCGTACATGTACGACCAATTCCGTCTGTGCCGAGCTACACAAATACTTTTGTGCATGCACACCAACATACGTAATGCGTGCTTAATGACAAGTGTGTCTTTACACGCATGTGTGCTCTCGTAGTAGCACTGTGCTACAAACCCAGTCACCCGAGTTTGATTCCCAGCCGCGGCTAACATCGGTGGTGAGTGATATCAGAACTGGTCTCAGGCTACCCCCTAGGTCGACTCGGCCTCAAAGGTGTACCTGGTGTGGTGTGTAAACATCACTACTGGGGAGACAAAGGTGTACCTGGTGTGGTGTGTAAAGATCACTACTGGGGAGACAAAGGTGTACCTGGTGTGGTGTGTAAACATCACTACTGGGGAGACAAAGGTGTACCTGGTGTGGTGTGTAAACATCACTACTGGGGAGACAAAGGTGTACCTGGTGTGGTGTGTAAACATCAGTACTGGGGAGACAAAGGTGTACCTGGTGTGGTGTGTAAACATCAGTACTTCGGGAGACAAAGGTGTACCTGGTGAAGTGTGTAAACATCAGTACTGGGGAGACAAAGGTGTACCTGGTGTGGTGTGTAAACATCACTACTGGAGAGACAAAGGTGTACCTGGTGTGGTGTGTAAACATCACTACTGGGGAGACAAAGGTGTACCTGGTGTGGTGTGTAAACATCACTACTGGGGAGACAAAGGTGTACCTGGTGTGGTGTGTAAACATCAGTACTGGGGAGACAAAGGTGTACCTGGTGTGGTGTGTAAACATCAGTACTGGGGAGACAAAGGTGTACCTGGTGTGGTGTGTAAACATCACTACTGGGGAGACAAAGGTGGCCAAACCACCTGGGGTGTGGAGGAGCCAGCACCACCCCCAGCATGGCACATTTGATGTGCTTAGTGCACGTGCCTGCCTTAATAGGTGCTTGCTAACAGCACTTGCCCCAATAGTTTGTTAAATGCTGCATTTGGATCTTTGTCTCTGTGCACACACAAACAAAATTTTAGTACACACTGCAGCGGCCTGAAACGCTATTTAATTAGGTAATGTTTTTATCTTTCGTTTTGGTACCCTTTGAAAAGGCCAGAGGATAATCTTGGGTTTTCCAGCGCCATGAATAATTAATGAAATGTGATCAAAGAGCGCTTGTGTTTGTAGCCATCGCTATGGGGCAGGGAATGAAAATCAGGTTGAACGACCCATTGTGCTTCAAATATTACTGCCGTTGCAGCTTAAGGTGTGCAACTGTAAACATGTTGTGTAACTCATATTCTTAGTTTTTTCGGTAAAGTCACGTTGAAGGGAAACAACAAAATAATAAAATATATATAAAACAATAAAAAATTCTCACGACGTTTCGACCATAACTCAAACGGTCGTCTTCAGGTGTGTTGGTTTGCATAAATTTATTTTTAAACGGCGCATTTATTTATTTATAAAAACGTTAGCGCCACGCGCAACGATTTGGCAGTTTATTTAGGACTAGTCCATCTATATTCTGAAAAGAGGAGGGGGGAGACGAAACGTCGTGATAATTTTTTTATTGTTTTATATATATTTTATTATTTTGTTGTTTCCCTTCAACGTGACTTTACCGAAAAAACTAAGAATATGAATTACTGCAGTCACGAAAGCTTTAAATCAAAATGTTGTGTAACTGTTTCGAAATTACACCTAACAAAGTTTCGAATGATAATGGTGGGGGGGGGGGGTGTTTTTTCTCTCATAATCATCACCACCGTTAGCCATTGTCCATCCACTCCTGGACGAAGGCCTCTCCCCACGCTGTTGTCATCATCCCTCGCGGTCCCGCCGATGCCACGATCTATCTTAACCTCTGTCCGTAAACTGATTTAGTCGCTCCCTCCATCTCCACGGGGTCGTCCTCCTCTTGTCATGCGTTCTCTTAATTCCGTATAGCATCGTGTCTGCCTGTGCCCGCCCGCTCGCTTAATTCCCTTCATTGTCAGTGATGTATCCGATTTGCATTTGTTCCCTGATACGCTCGTTCCTCTTTCTGTGTCTCTTGTTTCCAAACATTCATCTCCTTCATGCTTATTTGTGCACTTTTCATCGATTCGGGGGGGGGGGGGGGGGTTTGCCCAATATCGTTGTTTCTTCTCCATATGTAAGATGCAGGTATAGTGCATAAGATTGAATGTTCCTGAGGTGTAGTGGTATGTTGCTTTTCTGAAAGCACTCAATATCGCGATTATTCACCTCTGTTTCGTTGCTCTCGGAGTATATTTCAATATTCTCCAGTTTGTTTTAACCCCACTTGAAAGTCGGCCTTGATAAATATGAGCAAGAGGGAAGTCACATTTAAATGTGTTGGGTTAGCAAAATAGTTGTTTAGGGTTACACAACTGGTGGTTCTGCTTAGAAACACACAATTGAAACGTACAACACTCCCAACGCCATGAAACCACCGTGTAATTGCATTAGTGTTGCCTAGACCGCATGTTGGCTGGCATTGTGTTGTGACTTTGCTCTGGGCTTGAGTTTGTGAAATATATCACATTCGAGTCGGCAGGTTCATTTTTTGGGGTGATTCCTGTGTTAAAATCTCCGTTCATTAGAATAGGAGGATTCTGACCAGGAATTACGCCATGGAAGATGCCTGATATCAACCAGAATCGCCATTAACATGCATCGCCTATTCATAGGCCGTGCATGTCAATGGTACCTGGTAATTCCACCGCTGTTAAAACTCTGGCTAGGTCCCATGAGCCCTCAACTTGTTTCATAAATGCCAAAGCCTGCCTACACACAACCGGTTTCCCACCATGGCTCTAAATTTCCTACAATCCCGCGATATCCATTCGGAATCATTTAATGCTAAGACTTTATTTTTTTTATCATTCCAGGCTGTAATGCACAATAACTTTTAACGTGCACGAGTTTTTTTTTTTTACAGGAACAAAAAAATAGGCAAGTTAACCGCAAAATTTGAACGAATTAAAATAATCTTACAATAATATAAAATGTATTGCATAGAACAATGTGGTAAGAATGTAGACAAAACTTTACAGATGTTATACCGGTAGGAAACGTAGTGGACTCGAAGCCCAACCGGGATTAATTCACAGGAGGTAGGGGATTAATTGTGTATGTCTGTGGATGTCTGTCCACGTGTATCCGGACACCCGGATATATAACAAATGCGCTCCTAGTGGGCATTACTGGTAGGAAACGTAGTGGACTGGAAGCCCAACCGGGATTAATTCTCACAGGAGGCAGGGGATTAATTGTGGATGTCTGTGGATATCTAAGGGTATCCGGACATTCGGATATTAAAAAAATGGGAGGGGTGGGGCTGGGTGGAGAGGGGAGGGTGGGGAGGGGAGGGTGGGGAGGGTGGGGGGTGGGAGGGAGGGGTGGGGCTGGGTGGGGTGGGGCTGGGTGGGGAGGGGCTGGTTACCCCGTGGTGCCCTTATAAAACTCAACGTTTAACCTACTCACGCCGGCTTGTGCCCGCCCTCACAGTCAGGCATATTTGCGGAATACACCACGTCGCCGTTGACCCTGGCCACTGACCGAGCAACCAACGTTCATACCAGCCCCCTCCGCAGGAATGTGTTCTAAAGCATGCTGGTGGTTACTTGGTTGCAGTGTGCTTTGAGTAAAGTAAAATAAATTATGTATATTTACATAACTGTATTTCCTTATGTCATCTCGTTTAACACATACTTCCACACCTCTAACCCTACGCAGCAACAAATGGCAACCACAATTAAGTTCGTCCAACGACCATTAACCCGTTAAATAATATACAAATGGCCACCGGTGTTGGTGGGTTAATTATCTCATCTTGCATGCCACAATATAAAAGAAAGCGTTTATAAACAACTGATGGGATATCGCCGCACTTGGCAACGTCTGCAGAGTGCCGATGCAGACTGTACCGTAGTTTGCCTGCTGCCATCCGCACTGACAAAGCCCCAGTCAGACAGATCGTTCATTATTAATGTTATACCCCTCGACAATTTCAAAGAAAAACAATGGCAACATCTTTCACCTTCCCTTTGCCGAGCGGATGCCTCTCCACACGCCATTAACTTTTCGTGCAATTTAAAAGCGGTCTGTGGTGTACGTATCGAAAATGTAACTCGTGTGGAGTTGGACTGTCATCGCGTGATCTCGAAGTGCAAGGTCGATTATTATATGCGAAAGTCTGTCTGTTTAGCAAAAACAATGTATTCGGCGGGAAGAAGGGTTTTGTGCGAGGTGTTTGATGGTTAGATGTTCATGAAAATGAGTTGTGTGTAAAGGTATAACACTTTACATTGTTAGTAATATGCTTATAGAATTCAAACAAAATTTGTTAACAAGGCCTCATTTCACTTTTTTTTTAATGATGATTTCAAAAATGTATTATGTATATCTGTCTTAAACGATTGTGTTCAACGTTTCTCTTTCTCCACTACCTTTTACACATCCTCCACTCCAGCAAGTCTTCTGTCAAAACCCCCAGTGTAACTTTGTTGAACGTAAAGGGCACCCTTGCTTTGCTGCTGCTGCTGCTCTGAGTGTCTGGAATTACCTTCCTCTGGATGTCTGCGCAACTGAGACCCTTCTCTATTTCTATTCCGGCCTCAAAACCTTTGTTTTTTTTTCCCTACCTATGACCGACTTTCCCTGTGAAATGCCTTCATTTGAACTTCTACCATAATGACATCTCACAATCCCTTGGTGGCCTGTCACACTCTACCACTCATTCGCTGCTCTAAAATTAACAAATGAACAAAACATAAACGAATTCTTAAAACTCTATAGATACACATATCCCCCCCCATATAAATGCAATAACATGTAAATGCTTTATAATTCGGTATTGAGTTTAAGATAGAGAACAGCCATGGCTGCAGTAATAGCCATGGGGGCTCTGAAATGCTCTCCTTAGTGGTATCATCCTCCCTGGTGTGGCCTGCAGTGGTGCCGAGGATCTGTGTCTGCCTTGACAGCAGCTGGCACCGAGTCACCAGCTGTGGCCTCCGACGATGGAAGTCGGAACTCTAGCTACATCCACGAGGTCTCCAGTGCCACCACCCGCCCCCGCCCCCCCCCTCCGCCCACCGTGACGATCACAAGACTTTTGGTGCTCCCTCTCTCCAGACGTGCCTGCGCTCGTCTGTCCGAGGTGCTCACAGTTTGCGCGGTCTCGCCGCAGATGGCCATCGTGTTTGGCGAGGCCGGGTTGAGGGACATCCGCCCACCGTGCGTGGCGCAGAGCTTCATAAACCACGACGGCGTTTTGCACAAGGTGTTTGTCATTGGGGACACCTTTCACGTGGTGGAGAGGCCCTCTCTCAAAAACTTTCCCGCTGGGAAATCGGGTGAGTCATTTGGCTGTTCAGCAATACATGATTAGTCCAAGCGATTATGCGTGATAGCTCTGTGTGTGCATATTTGTTTCATTTGTGACCGTATAAACATTTCGAATGTCTCATCTCTGTCTGGCAGATCAGAAAACGATCTTTTTCAACAGTCACGATGTCTCCAAGGCTGAATCTGCGTCTCACTTAAATGCAGTAAGTACGAATAATATACATTTTAAATAATGTTTCAGTATGGCATTTCGTTCATTCCATCTTGGGATTTCATTTCATGATCTTAAGTGTTTTTTTGGCATTCCACCCGTTGAGCCATGCAGCCACCACAGCGTAATTTGAGTCTTATTTGTTGTCGTTTCCCACCGTCCCCCGCCGTTTGCATGCACAGCGAGACGAGAGCCAGACGGCTGAGCAACGGCAGCAGCTGTCCCCGCAGGTGGTGCGGCGCCTTGTGGAGGGCCTGCGCGAGACGCTCGAGATGTCGCTGTTCGGCATCGACATCATCGTGGACCGGGAGAGCGGCCACCATGCCGTCATTGACATCAATGCCTTCCCAGGTGAGTCGCCACCGCAAGCCACTACTGCCACCAACACCGCTGCTACCACCACCATCACCACCACCACCACTGTCGCCACCACCGCAATCACTACTGCCTCCAACGCCGCTGCTACCGCCACTCCCACCACCACCACAACAACCGCCCATACACATGCACGCTTGCAGCGAGCAAATTCCTCTGCAAGAGCCTCGTTTCTCCCGAGTTGAAGCCCCACGGGATGTTAAAATGCAAAGTTATTAATGAGTTGTGTGCAGGTCATGACATGCTTTTGCCGGGATGGAATTGAAAACGTTTAAAAATAGATGCTTAATTTGCGTATTGGTTGGATTCCGTTTGTCGTGTGGTTGAGAATTAAATTGTGGCATTTGATCAATATAGTGTTGTTGGTTCCTGATTGGGCATCCGTGCGATTACCATTATTTGGACCACCTCCTCTCTGTACACAATGCCCGCTGGGATATGTGAATAGTATTTGCGATGAAGCTCGGCTGCAGAAGGCCGTGCTGTATTAGTGCATGTCATCGTCCGTGGTGATTTTTGCGGTTAATGTCAAGGGGTATTTGTAATTGATTTTAAGTGCTCTCCCTTCTCAATGTAAAGCGGCTGCAGAAGGCCGCGTGCTACGGCATGTGGAGTTGCATTGCGCTGCAGGAACACAACTTCACTCTGCAGTGGGTTGCGCTGCATAGCTCTGAAGAGTTTTATGGTTGTGTCCCTCGTTTTTCAGGGCTGATGGTCTGACCATTTCACTTCACATACCGTGAGCTCCTCCAGGCGCTTCTTCGAGACACTGCCAGCACGTGCAGCGGACTGTCAGACACAGCGTCCCACACAATGCGCGGTTACAACCCCGCAAGCGTGTATGCCAGAGCTAGCATTGCGTAGCGTTTCCTAAACCGGGTGCGTCGTGACTCTGGCTAATCTGCTGCCTAATCTCGATGTGGCAAACTCTTTTGGAGCTGATGCAAGGCGGTTTACTTTTTGTGCGAAATAAATAGACCAACGAAGCGTGGGAAGAATAATGAAGCGACAATATAACAAAATGCCCAAAAGTACAATTAGGCCCGTTCGTAATTGCTTTAATTGACTTGGAAAAATTCAGACGATGCGACGAGATGAGTTTGTTTGTAAACGTCCGTGCGCAGAAAATTGCAAACAAAACATCATTGGGGCAAGCCCCCCCCAGTGCTTTCTGAAGAAACTCCTTCATGTCGGAAGTCAAATGGGAGCCAGGCCGAGTCTGAGCATACGCGGTTTGTTTAACCTCAGGTAGCGCTTAAATAAAAATTATCACGACCACATGCCGTTTGGGATTTAGTCTTTACGTCGCCCACGCAACATAAAATGATTTATGGTTGAAAAGAATTCCTTCCCAAACACGAATACACCGTGAGAAAGAAAAAAACGTTCTGCGTTCACAATGTCGTGGGTAATAGGCGATGCTTCTACAGTGGCTGCAAAATATATAGAGGAATTAAATTAGTTTTCTCGAGAAAGGCTGACAGCGAGGTCTAAGAGGGCTCCTGCCAGTTGAAAAGTTATTTTAATTGTACCTTTCTTAGCAGATATCTCCATGAAAAGTAATAAAATAATATACAACATTCCCTAAAAAAGAATTGTTCACCATTTTTTTTTCCTTAAAAAGTAATCGCACACGGACGGCCATCCGCTTAAGAAAATACAAGCATATGGGGGGGAAACAGTGATAATTCAGGTGGCTTTGTATAAACAAGTGGGAATACATATGTCAAAATACACCACAGGCTCGTAATTTTACATAGAGAAAACTGAGAAGATTGCTGTGGATGCTGGAAATGCGTTCGGTCCTCTGTTTAAACCATGCAGCAGCGTCATAAACCGTGGATCATTGCTACGAGCGGTACCTTGTTTAGCTGCTGTGCCACATGTGGTGTTTACTGCATTTTACGGGTGCCTATTAATGTCCGCTGCTTTATAAGCAGCTGCACATTTTCCTGTTGAACGGTGATGTGGTGAACACCAAGCGGCGATGGCGTAGCGACGATGATGGCAATGTTTTTCACGTTGCCAAATTACGCGTTGCCACCTAGCCGGGTTTCTTTTACACCATGGCATGATTAGCCTGCATCAGCTGGTTAACTGGTTTATTTTTATTTACTTGAGTTTGGACCCCACTTATTGTGCCCCAAACTTAGTGAGATATAAATCATAGTAACCATTGTGTATTTTTGTATGTTTTAACGGGCTGTATAAATTGTCAGGATGTTACACCAGTACATGCTCAAATGAGTAAACTCCCTTTTAAGTACAAAGTTAAACGTGGTGCAACCGTCGTTAATTTTTGCGTAAATATTGGGGCAATAAATTGTGAATTATTCTCGGGTGTTTGGACGTACGTTTTGATAGCGCGCGTTGTCGTGCTTGTCGTGCGTGTTCACCCAGGCTACGATGGCGTCGCCGACTTTTTCCCAGCGCTGCTCATGCACGTGCAGGGCCTTCTGCAGGCCCACAAGCCCAGCGACGGCGTCTTGACAAACCAGCGCCTGCAGACACCCAATGGACAGCTCGAGCCACCCACCACAGGCGAGCTGATCCAGCATCATCAAGCCCAACCGCAGCAGCTTCAGCAGGCTGCTGCCTGCAGGGACCAGGATTCCGCAAGCGCGGCGGGGCTGTCGGCCTTGCAGCTGCCTCGGCTTTCCCTGCCGAGCCGCCCACACGGCCGATGCGGGTGCACGGCCTCCCGGAGCTCGTGGCCCGTGGAGAACGGCGGCGGCAGCGGCGCATCGCACTTGGTGCCCACCAAACGGAGGGTGCACTCGGTGTCGGTGTCACCGGCGGCGGCGGCGGACATAGGCATGGTGTGCCACCGCGTATCGCTCGTGGGAAAGGGCAGCAACGGTCGCTGAGCCCACTGCCGGGGGCACCACAGATGTTACGCTTTCCTTTGTGATCGCCCAACAACCCATCCCCTCCAACAGTCGTCTGCGATCATTGGTGTGTAGCTTCTGTCGTTAGGACAGCGGTGCCCAGTCTGACCGAATTGAACCAAGAAATCCAGTCATTCCAGCAGCGCGGCCGTGCATATTGGTGGCTTCGGTACAGACGGCTTTGTCACGTGTGTGCACATTTAATTATAGTGGTTGGGAAGAAAAAAAATGATATCTTCTGTGTGTTCATATTAAATGACTTAATTTGTCTTATTAATCGCAGCCACCCCACCCTCCGTCCAGATGCATATGTAGAGGTGATCCTGTGCTCTGAGAATTGTGGTGGCATAGCCTCCGTCCAAACACGCTCCATTATGTGCGCGCATTGCATTTGCCGAAGTCATGTCAATGTCAGGATTAATTCATTCCATGTGAGGTTGACAGCACCATAGGTATAATCATTTATTTTTGGAAATAAGTTCCTTAAATATTTAATTTGTCAATCCAAATTTGCGGCTTGTTTAGAGGTCTTTAAAGGGTGATTTAATTTTCAGAGTATGCCACTGACTATGTGGCTTTGAATTCCTTTGCAGAGGCAGGCAGGTATACATCTGGTGAGTGCCCTGTCACTCATTGATACGAGTTAGAGACGTACGGTGGCCGGTGGTTAATGGGTAGTATTAATTAAATGATTTAATTTACTGTAATTTAGTATTAATATATTTTGTAATAAAAATCAACTGTGAATATTATTGTGGTGAACCTTTGTAAATTTTTGTTTGAAATGCAACGTTTGCTCCACTTCTAGAAATAAAAAAATAGTTTTTTAGATTTTTTTTAACAACTTCCATATTTAATTTCTGATCAACTTTAATGTTTTGCCAAATGATATCCTTTCGCAAAATTGTAAATAAGTGTTGAAATCTGATTGAAACGCTGACTAAAAAATGTTATTTAGTTTATTACAAAAAACAGCCCAGATGAACTTTAAAACAAATTGAAACACAGGCATCACACTCTTGTTCCGCCTGATTAGCGATGTACAACAGGAAACAAGAGTCTTGAATTTTATCATTTTTGTTGTAAAATATATTGGCATGTTAAAAAGAGGTTTTAAACGAGCTCTGGCCTAGCAATTCCTGATACCTCTTTGTTAGGGGTATGCTTGTTAAATAACTCACACTCTTTGTTTTGCTTTTGTGGACAAAGGATGCTGCTGATTTTTAATAAAACAAAAATCAAGATAAATTGCACTTGTGTGAACCTAATATAATCATTGCTGTTCTTGAAAAGCGCGTCATTCTGTCGCGAGCCGTCTCGTTGAATCGTGTGCTCTCCGTGCATCCAGGGAATGTACGTGCAGGTGGAGATCACACTGGTGTGTAGCTTCGGTGGTAAGGCGGATGTCCAGTTTGAGGAGACATTGCTATCCGCTCCGTGTACTATCAAGGAAAAATACCGGTGGCTTATATCTCTTTTTTTTTCCACTGGCACATTCGAGCCGTGCTAGCGCGGGGCCCTTACTGTGTATGGGTGGTTTTCTACGAGCTATTTGCCAAGCTTAGCCAGGATCAAACGGTGAACCAATCAATGTCTTTAGAAGAAGACATCTGAATCTGGCTCGGAAGCAAGTAGGGCACGGGGCGGGGTTAATTCTAAATTGAAAAGCATTTCTTTAGAACTGATTGTTTTATGTTTGTTGTCCTAATCCCCGCACCTTCGATTATCACGGTTGGCTACGTACGGTGCGAAAGAAGTTCAACATGCATACATACAAACAATATTTTTTTTGTCATACACTGACGCAACGTACGTTCATTGTTACGTATGATGTCAGTGGCACAGCTCGGGTTTTTGCAGTGGAAAATTAAACCTGGCTGGCTCGGCTTGCCAACAGCGTGGCTCGGTTGTATCGTGGAAAGGAGGTATAAATTGAACCCAGGTGACTGTTTACAAGTTTGTCTTCTCACCCAACACCCAGCACCCATCACCTGACTCACTTGAAGGTAATACCCCTCACCAGACACACACTTGGTGTAGGTCATAAATAAACGGCGCTGTCTCTCCAATATAGACGTGTGCATTGCAAAAGCGATTTATTGTGTTCCATCGTCATCGGCCATGGTCAATTTCACTGCCGGAGGAAGGTCTCCCCAAGTTTGCCGCTGCTGTGTTAACCTGTTGTCGGTGCGCTTGGTGCAGTGCGTGCAGTGTTTTACGACAGCGGTGACTGCTTCTGAGTCTCGTGTTTATGTCGATGGAACTTGTGTGTAACCGTATTTTCGTTTTCACCGCTTTTCTCGGCTTTTCCCGATGGTCGTTCTGCTTGCAAATATGAGATTTTATTTTTGGTGAAAGGGAAACTGTGGCCTAAGTGACATGACCACCAGTGAAAATACTTGTCGGTAATTATGGCGATAAGAGGGGTTTTTGTTCGCTAGGTTTAACCTTAAACCACTCTGTTCATCTTCATTATAATTACTTGCACAGTTTATTTTAAGACACATCGATGACGCTATAGTTTACAAAATCTGGGCGCTATGTACTACGTCGTCTTCTGTTCATACAGCACAGATTATTTTTGTAACAATTGTATTATTTTCTTGTAATTGTGATTCCATTTAATAGAAAACGCTGCATCTTTTGGTGAGATGTAGTGCTCGCTTAATTACAGCTGTATAGTAGCGCAATGCAAATTATTTGTTGGCTACTCCATTTAATGTCCATTGCAGAGATTTAAAAAAATCAGAAATGATCGACGATCCTGCAAATGGGTGCCGGATTCACGCGTGTGTTTGCGAGGCTGTGGTTCATTGTCAATTAATTATACCAGTATCTCAAGCACCAGCGTGAAGTGAACTAATAACCAAATTGTTCACCCATCGTTGGGTGACATCTTGTCGCAAGGCTCTCGTTACTCTTTCATGTACCATTTCTTGTTTGTGAGTAACCCCAACCACTTGATTAATACGATTTTAAAAAAGCTGTAGTTTTAACACAGAGGCAAGAACGTAACCGTGTTGAATGTTTAATGAACATCAATGTGTCGGCAGTGGAGAAAAGTGCTTTCGCTCAGCTTTTTTCTCAGCTTTATCTCGCTGTATGGCTTCGCGCATCTGTCCATAGCCGGGATGATCTTGTTGCCGTCTTTTCGATGGGGAGTCGAGCTCATGGGGCCTTGGAGGCATTCTTCACGTCTGTAAACAGGACACTCATTACCACGTGGGCAAGATTACTGCCGATAACAGTGGGTTCAGTTTTATTTTTCTGCCAAGCCGTTTTAATGCAGAAGAGACTGCTTAGGCTTCCTCTTGAGAAGTCTAGCGTCTGTGATGATGGATAGAAGGCAGCGGACGAGGTTGTTTTGCACGAGGTACTTGCATGAAGAAGGCTGCGCTGCAGATGTGATGCGTGGATTGGCTTGGCAGTGCTGGCATAGCGAGACTGTTGCTGCTTATTTCTCTTGATAACATGTCCTGTTGCTGTGCTTTTGCAACTACGACTACCTCCTTGCATTCGATTACAATTCTATGTTTGTGTGTGATTGGAAACGTTCTCTATTATTAGTATGCCCCCTTTGAATTCTGATTCGAATCCGCAGAATGGAGGGTGCGGGGAGGGAGGAACGTTTGTCTGTGCTCTTGAGAGTTCATTCATGTGGCTTGTACGTATCAGTGGCTCCCACTCTTTCACCTGTCAGCTGGGCCCCCACCAACGTATTCATTCGTCAGCGCCCTTCCAGTTGAGGCAGAAGAAGCGAGCGTCTCGTCATTTTCTGGGCTGCGTAAGGGACCGGGTGACGTGATGCTGTAGTTGTCCAAGCTTTTGCTTCATTGTCAATTTTGTAATCCTATACGGTATATCTCCAATTGAATTTGTAACTCTGGACGTAAAGATGATATGGTTTTTGTTATTTAAAAAAAAAATGCTACCGTTTGTTTTGTACGATCTAAGTGTGCAAAGCTAACTGGCTGACAACTGGAAAAAAAGACCCGTATTTGCAACAGTTTTGCCCAAAAGTCTGTCACTTTACTCTTATTCTGACCAAACCGCATCACGTTTGAATGTTATTTCACTCTTAACGCGTGATGGTGATGGTCGTGGTGTGATCGCTTGTCATGTCATTGACACCATTTCTATGTTTTCATTGTCATTCGTTAAACAAATATTTCCAAGCACCCAACGAACCAAAAATCGCACTTGCGATGAAAAAAAATTCCCAATGTTTTTGGGCAAAGAAATGTCAAAAGTAGCTGCTTCGCATGTTTAATAAAAAAACAAAGTCATCCGGTTTGATTTCTGCTCGTGTGCACAATTGCACATCATCACATTCCATTGGCTGCTTTTTATTTTGAGCGTAAAGCTTCTGGGACGTCTGGACTGTTAAGACCGCCGCCTTTGTACTTTTCAGATTACAGGACGTCTATTCCGATTTTCAGATTACAGGACGTCTTTTCCGAGGGCTTTGGGAGTGAGATGAGAATGTACTTGTTAAGTCAATTGTTGCACTTTCCCTTGAACCAAGATTTCCCCCCACCCTCGCTTTAGGCGTTTGCTAAAGCCCCCCCCCCTCCCCTCTTACAGTTGTACTTTTAAGAATTTACAAAATTCCGAATGTTTGAAAAATATTGTTTAATCGTTTGGCTCTATAATTGTGCTGTTCACTTCTAATGCCGGTCAACGGATTACGATGATGTTGAGGCTTGACCGAGACTTTGTAATGTATTCCCGCCATGTGCCTTTTCCAGTTCCACCGAAGTGTGCGTGTCCCTCTGGCATAAGATGTGCAGACACGAGGGGGCAAAGATGTGTGATGCTGTTAATTGTACATGTATATTTATTAAAGTTCATCTGAATTAAACAAAGGCCATTTATAGTTGTCGAATGAGCTAATAAATGTAAAATATACGGAAGCCGCCTGTGTCTTTTTATTTTTCCCGTGGCCTCGCTTCTTCACCCCCTTACATGATGACACGCGCTTAAACGTACCCAAACAATACTGCGGAACAATTAATGCCCGCTGTAAATGTGTACGGTCATGGTTTTTAGTATGGATATTTTTTTCTTTAAAAGAGACATCACCTAAAATGCACCGCTAATGACTGCAGTGCTATTCTCTTTGCACATAAAATTGGCGTATAGTCCAAGCGCATAGGTGTTTTTGTTTGTTTGTTTTGTTTCACAAGAACTTGCTGTAATCACGTTTTAAAATGCTGTATACTGCAAAAGAAAACTTTCGCCGCACTCCCTGTAAAATGCATGCTAAACTGCTATCCTAAAGAGCTGACCATGCATTTGCAAACCACGCTAACGCACTTGCTGTTGTTTGTCTGCTGACGATGTCGCCGCATGCCCCGATGCACCGTCTCCGGCACAGCGTCTCGAGCCAACCTTGCTCAAGTTAAATTGGATGGAAGCTATCGGTCACAACGGGAAATCGAACCGCAGTAAAAGTGTATTGTCTTTGAGATAATTTAAACCTGGAGGCGACGCCTTCATCCAGCAGCGGATTGATCAATGCCGATGACAATGTCGAAAACTCAACCCCGATTCGATTGTAGCACACACGTGTGTTCGTAACAATACGTGTGTCTACAGTAAAATATCAACAATGAACAATGAATGTGGTGGAGCGGTGGCGCAGTTGTTAGCAACTGCGCTGTGAACTCGGCAACGTGAGTTCCATTTCCTTGGCCACGACTTAACAGTGGCGAGAGATATCTAATGGTGCTCTGGCCCATATATACACAAAGACAAAGATACCCCGTATAGCCTTAACAGACTAGGGGCAAGTGCTGTTAGTGAGCATCGACGAAGGCCGTCACGGCACACGAGGGGGTAGGTAGCCAAGCAACCACGCTCGGCCGCCTTTGTCTCTCCAGTGGCGATGTTTACACACCGCACCAGGTACTCATTTGAGGCTGAGTCGACCTAGGGGAAGCCCAAGGCCGAATCGGATAATCGTCACCGGTGTTGGCCGTGAACGGGAGTCGAGCTCGGGTCGCCGGGTTCGTAGCGCAGCGTGGCGCTGAGCACTACCGCTCCCTGCTGGCCCATATACACAAAATACAAAGATCCCCCGTTTAGCCTTAACAGATTGTTGGGGCAAGTGCTGTTAGCGAGCACCTATGAAGGCCGGCACTGCACACGAGGGGATGGCCAACACCACGCACGGCCGCCTTTGTCTCGCTCATTTCAGGCTGAGTCGACCTAGGGGAGGCCCTGGACCGGTTCAGATAATCGTCACTGGTGTTGGCCGTGAGCGCTAACCGCTGCACTACCGCTCCCCACTATATACACACACCCACACTGATCAGCGAGGTGAAGTATAGTCAAACAACCCCATAACTGAACGGCATGGGATTGAGAACGGGGTGGGATTATTCTCGTAAACATAACACATTTAGGAATGCAAACATTGCCATCAGGGTGTCGTTACCGCGCATGCAGTTGAGTGAATTGTAAAGCAAAAGTTGGGGGTGGGGTGGGGTGGGTGGGTGGCGCTTTCTATAATCCGGTGGGATTTTGTGGCGCGTGGTTCCATGACCTCATTCAGTCACCGTGAGCGGACTCGTTAGCTCTGCCACGTGGGCGTAAATCTGTCCCCGTTGATTTGATTGCGCGCGTGCTTGCGCGTGCGCGTGCTTGCGCGCGCGCGTTTCCAAACCCCTCCCACCGCTCCCGGTGTCTCGCCGCCCGAGACGCCAACGCATCGGCCAAGTCACCGCTGACAAAACGCCAAAACGTCGCCAAAGTAGCTGCGCGACGCCACCGCACCAAACTTGGCAATGTTGACCCGTACGTAAGGCAAATAATATAACAAATAGCCTCTACGGTGGGGAGGGTGGGGGGGTGGCGTGGGACAAAGCCCCGATATCCAATACAATGTTTGGTGTATATACAGTAGCGTCTGTGTGCAACCGAATCTTCAAGACGTGAAAAACTGTGGGGCCGTTGGGTGTCTAGGGCAGAGGCTTTTAAGGTGATATTCATCCAAGGAGGTATTCATCCAAGGAGGTATTCATTCCAACGAGGTATTCCAATGAGGTGTTCATGGCAATGAGGTATTCATCCAAGGATGTATTATTCCAATGAGGTATTCATTCCAAGGCGGTATTCATTCAAGAAAATCTCCTCGATGACCCGATAGAATGGAAACGAATTCTATACAATTTGCATGATTGCCACGAGGAGCGTAAATGAAATACAACACCTAGGCCTCGGCAAGGCAAGGTAATTTACCCTTTTTACCAGGTAAGAGGGTAAAGGTGTCGACATGCCAAGGGGTAAGGTAAAGGATAGTAGGGTAAAGGATAAGGTAAAGGATAGTAGGGTAACGGTAGCGTGAAGTATTACCCGGTAAATACGGTGCCTTGTTTACTGCTAAAAGCTCCGTGGCGCAGTCCGTGGCCTCCATCTAATAAGTAATATTTTTAAAAGTACTTTTTTTAAAAACACGCTTTAATGATGTGCCGCACTAGTAATGACAGAACTCCACGACTCTAGGAAGTGGCCCCGAAGCTTGCCACAACGTGAGGGGACCGTGGCCAATTACAGCCAACGTCAGTTGAGTGTGGACAATTAGACCCAAGCCGAAACATAACATTAAAAATAATGTTTAAAAATATTTATTTTATGATAGAATCATCAGTATGACATAAGTATACCAAGTTCGCAGTGGATACCACATTGGGAAGTGGGTTAAAATTGAGTTACAAGATTTGAGGATACAACGACAACAACAGAGTTAAAAGAAAGCGTGTAAAATTGGAATACTCGAGAGTATTCTATGTGAATAAAGCACTCTACCTAGCATTTACCTGTTATAAACCTTGCTCATGTGTAGTACCCCAGTAATTACCCTGTAATAGGGTAATTTGTATGGGGTAAGGGTAAAGGTAGGCTCGTTATTTTACCTTACCTGCTAAAGGGTAAAAGGTAGGGTAGAGTGAGTGTATTGTGGTAAGGTAAAAGGTAGGGTAAAGGTAGGCTCGTTGTTTTTACCTTGCCGAGACCTAACAAGGCCCACTAAATATTCCAAGTGGGGGGAAAAATGAACGCGGGCAACGTCATCAAGCAATGTAGCAGATGAATATATATTATATTATATTCTTGGTTCTTTTGGTAAAGTCACATAGAGGGGAAACAATAAAATAATAAAAATATAAAATTTCACGACGTTTCGACTGCAACACAAGCAATCATCATCACACCTGATGCAATCATCATGATGCAATCATCATCAGGTGTGATGATGATTGCTTGTGTTGCAGTCGAAACGTCGTGAAAATGGTATTGTTTATTATTTTTATTATTTTATTGTTCCCTTCTACGTGACTTTACCGAAAGAACCAAGAATGAGAATTTTATTGTTTTATATTTTTATTATTTTATTGTTTCCCTTCTACGTGACTTCGCCGAAAGAACCAAGAATATGAATCCCTGCAGTCACGAAAGCTTTAAATCAACATTTTATACATTATATTATATGAACTTCGCGGTGACACAATGTGCACCGCTCGTGCCAGAGAAGTTTCGTCATCACAGCTCACAGGCAACGGGGTGGGGGTGGGAGCTTATTGAGTTTAAAAAAAAATTATATTTGAAGTTTCCGCAGCCTTGCTGCGCTCAAAATACCCTCCTTCCACCCGGGACACGTCCACCACAAAAGGCAACCTGCGAATTAGGCAGCAACAGGAGGATGGCCAGTCTCAAAATATAAGAATAGGTTTTATCCTTTAGGCGTTAAGATGTTACAACACCAAACAGAATCCTTTATCAAGGGATCATGTCTGCATTAAACCACACGTGTTTGTGGTGAACATGCAAACATAAATAAAACATGCCCCTGGTAGTATGTGATGCATTGTCTTTGAAACTGATTGGTCCACACCAGAGACAGCTTTCTTTTGAGCCTTATCTCAAAGTGTTCGACCAGAGGACGCTTGTTCGCCTTTTGAACGCTGTTTTCCTTTTGGTTTGTTGAAAGCGGGGAACACAGGACTCTAAGCAAAGTCGAACTTGAGGCTGAGCCTGCCTCATGGAGGACACCACTCAACCTCCAGGCTATCATTTCATTTCGAAGGGACCCAAGTTGGAAAATGTTGCGTTGTCTGATTTGTATCGTTACATCGCTGTATGTGTGCTAGATTTCCGATTTTTTAGCCCTTCTATAACATCAGAGTTTAAGTTAAACATATCCATCAATGTTACTGCCCTTGTAGGAAAAATAATTATATAATCGGTTATGTTTTTGGCCAATGGACATTCCTCACGGCAGAGAGAACAGGAGAAATAATATAAATTTACATCAATGTCACGTGGTATATGTAATGTTTGTTTCAGTGTGTGACCATCACAGGACACACATGGTTATAATATACATGGGACCGGTTGTAATGATGATGATAATTTACGGCCAATCCACCTATAGATGAAGTCCTCACCACCCCCCATGCTCCCCCCCCCCCCACACTTATGGGGGTTGTTTGACCATACTTCACCATGATGGTCAGTGTCTCATGGGGGAATGGCCCTCATGACTGGTTTAGATATGAATCACCACTGATGTTACCCATGGCCTGGAATCGTAGCTTCGTTCATTAACCACAGCAACCACAACTTCCGTCTCACAGTTACAAAACTGTACGCAGCATATCCAACATAATACTCGGAACTTGTTTTTAGATTAACACGTAGGCTTTCGCGACCAATATCATCCATAATAGAGGGTTTTTGGGGTTAGATTGCATAACTATATAAATGTGTCGTTCAACCTGCCACCACCTGACACAGCCAACTAGTAAGGGTTGTCACGTAAATAGAACATGTTGTAATTACTGGCGAAACGCCGTATTCAGATCGTTAATGTTGTGGCTTGGCTCTCCAACACACAACCGGTGTGCTGTACTAG